GAATTTTTGGCAAAATATTTTGCCAAAATCAGTGAAATATCCAGGGAGCGATACATGCCCTCTAGGCCTGTTGTTTTTTCGCCTCATGTTTGTTCCCAGTCTATAATTAGTATTATAAATGATTTTTTTGTGTAATGCTGGGATGTAACATATATATAAAAGAAAACAATGTGTCATAAGTAAATATTTTGTATTGTTGCTATGATGATTACATATATGGGCCACAATATTTTGCACCTAGTGTCACTGGAACTACTTTGTAGAGGTCAGCCATCTTGAATACATATTTGCCTAACTTAAACAACAGTGTGACTTTGAAAGTGGATTGCTTCTAACAAAAGGACTATGCATCAGTTTCCGTGATAATTGTGTGTACCTATATACTTTGAAAATACATTCAATGTGAATTTTTTGTTCTTGTTGTAGGATTTACCACTGTAGCTGCGCACAAAGTGTACTGAATTAAAAGTAAGTTTGTGTTCTTATATTGTTTTAATAAGGGTTATATTTGTTAAATATGTGTTTATTGGCACAATATCCACAATATGGACTTGAGCAGATGTGATCATTAAACCATTTTATGTTATTTCCAGACNATGTGGTATATATAGCTGCAAGCTGTCGTAACAGACAAAAATGGCACCTACCTTTGTCGAATATCGGCAATACCCGCCGTACTGCCAATACCCGTCGTCTACAACTGTGCTTCGATTTAATGTACAACAGATCGCGCTCAATACTGACCGTGAACTATAAATAACCTCTCTAGCTACGACTACAGTAGACTAGTTATATATCTCCGCACTGTTCCCGTACCCACAATGAACCGTATACGGTAATATACGATTAGCTGCTTATAAGGGTACGTGTGTAGGTATAAAATACTGGTGCGCTTTGTCCATAGTTAATTTTCTGTATGATGCAAGGACGTTCTTTTTAAATTTCTTAACACTTCATGGTGAACATTTAACTTCATCCATTTATAATGACTAAATAGTTTCAATTTCCAAATACGTCTTTATTAACGTTCTTATTAAACATACCTGACGACAATAGGGCTGATATAGGACTGCAGCACTTTACAGATTGTGGATCCTAGAGTTTAACGCAACAGTGTTAAACAAACATCTCCATATATAGCCAACTGTTGGTTGAAGACACACATAGCGAAACTAACACATAGGCAAGTGTTGCATCCTTATATGGTCATTTCGAAATCAGCATTATATATGATCACTTATTTAGTAACCCGAAATAACCCTTGAATCACTGTTTGTTTTCGCTCTGACTGCACATACAGGTATTTCAATATGTACAGAGTGTGTTACTACCGTATTCTAAATGATAAGCGAAAAAAAAAAAAACATATTGTGTTGAGTGTCTAATGCTGTCTTGCTTTATTTCCAATGTGAGTGTGTCCTTTGTCTTAATGTTGAACGTTCGCCCAGATGAGGAAGGCAATGCCCCCATGCTTTTACCAAAGTTCTTGAAAAATGGTATTTGCTATTCCCATTTACGGTAATGGCAACAAATATGGTTCACTCGTTGTCGGTAATATGTGACCGAGCGGAATATGCTGTGTTTGGTTTGGTTTAATTTTGTTAAACGTCCTATTAACAGCTAAGGTCATTTCGGACGTGCCTCTATGTGTGTAGTGTATGTATGGCAAGCCAAGTTGTCATTTATTCATGGAGCAATGTTGATCCAGTACTTAACCAAATTATATAAGATATCTCATATATTATATAAGATATCTTATATATTATATAAGATATCTTATAAACATATGAGATATCTTATAAACATATAAGATATCTTATAAACATATGAGATATCTTATAAACATATAAGATATCNTCCTGGGCGAACGCTCAACATTCAGGCCAAAAGTGAGGTGTTGCTTAGCAAGGCGCTAGGAAATAAAAGGTAGTAAGAAGTAGAAAAAAAGATAAATATCCCAAATATTGCAATGGGTGAAGCAGATGTATTTTGGTCGCTTTTGTGTCCTCAAATAGAGGACACCAAAGCAAATCTTCAATTCTGCAGGGGTTCACGCATTAGTCGCCTCCTACGATATATGAAGTGGGTAACAGCAGGTCCCGGTCCCCCACCTGCAGGGGTGATATGCTGTGCTGGGTGCATTCGGCATGGTATTTCAGCGAGATACCACTATAAAGTCGGCATCAGATCTGCGCTATCACAATGAGGCAAACATGGAGGCACGTCCTAAATTATTATAACTATTGATAGGGCGTTAAACCCTTTAAAACCAACTATTGTCTTGTTTTATTTTGATTACTTGTGTTGCCTTTTTTTTGTCCATTTATTAAATTGCATATATGCTTTACATTCAGTGTGTCTTAATTTATGTGAAATGTTGAGAGTGACTTTCTGATGTTACTCATAAAGCAAATGACAAAAAATAACTCGGGAAGTAGAAAAAAAAACTATTCAATTTCCCACTGCAAGAATGCCAGTTGGAAAACCTACATTAAAATAGGGAAAATATGTTAACCTCAACCTGTAGGCAAGAAAGGAATATTGCATCAGAAAAATGTCATTAAAAATGAATGATTTACTGAATCTGACTAAAAGTAGCTATCCTTGTCGCAGAGTTAGCACGCCGAGAGGCAGATATGATTACTGCAGAAGAAGCAAATGAACTATGCCAGAAAAATATCCTCAAGACTGACTCTCATTAAAAAATATTGAACACTTGAACTTATGTTTTAAGGCTGCATGTTGCCCTTCAACACTGAAATTTGAGATTTCGTGAAAATAGACAAATCACAATGAGAACGGGTCACCTGGGAATGTGTAAACGTAAATTTCATCCACAGCAGGAAATTTAGCTGCTACTTCAACTCAGAGCACAGGGTACTGGTATAGCCTGACCATGGCTCGATCATAGAGTATGCCTATGATATGGGAGCTAGAATGACAATTTCAACGACAGCTTCATATAAAATGTAGTGCATGGGGGTGTCAGACGATTCGCCCCCAAACCGTAACGCCCCAAGCTGTTACGCCCCAAATTTGATTCATATCACCCCAACCAGTTCGCCCAAAAAAACATAACGCCCCACCCCCAACTATTTCCCCGAAAAAAACTACAACGACCCAAAAATGTCCTCCATAATAGTCACTTATTGGGCAAATTTTAAAGATATAAATTGAAAAAAATAAGATATTTTGCAATTCGTTTGATGCTGGGGACATAATTGTTGTGCCGTAGATCAGAGACGTAGACTAATATATATGTTTCTGCGTAGATCGATAACTTACATGTACCATATAGATCTATAGTATCCATGTTAGGCATATATTTGTATATTTATCATGATATATACACTGTATCAGATTATAAGATCATAAACACGCGTGCTGTAGATCGAAAAAAAAACACCAACAAGATCCATTATGTTATGTATATATGTTGCAAAAGAGAGTGTGTTCTTATATTTGTTTATGCATATAGATCCGAAAAAATAACTAGATCTATATGCATAAACAAATATAAGAACACACTCTCTTTTGCAACATATATACATAACATAATGGATCTTGTTTTTTTTCTTTTCGATAAGTAGTTTTGATTTTTCATATTTTTCACTTTATCCAAGGTTATCTCAGGTTTCATTTCATCTTCTTCTTCTTTTTTTTAATTTGTGTTATGACAAGCAACATATGTAAAGGGTTAATGAGGATAAAACAATGTCCCAATTTATTTAATCTATGCCATTTTTTTATTTAGAATAGATATGATTATCGTCCACTCAGTGTGTAACATATTCTTTCTTTGGTACCTTATTACATGAGTAGCTCTCCGTACACAGCTGGATTTTGCAAAGATTGAATAAAAAGTATAAGTAGAAATCAGTATTTTTGAATCGATGATAAATCACACCTATTTCACATCACACTATTGTACGTGTGTTTATTGATATCCGTGTATTACTTGTAAAATTGCCAGAGATTCAGAGATTTTTATTATCACTCAGGCACACTATTGTGCGTAACAAGAGGTCATCATAAAGTACAATATAACAATGATATGGTTGACCGTAAAGCAATCATCTTACTATGCTAGCGTACAATAATATATGCTATACTGTAGAACAAATAAAATGGAACTGTATGGTCACGGTTATTTCTATCATGTCATTACACTAAACCTTAAAGGTTATGGTAAGGTCATTTCCGGATATATTTCTGGTACTCCGCAGAAACGAGCACTTCCTTTTTATTATTCTTGCGCGTTCTGTCGTTTTACAAGCAAACGCGAAATATTGATGTATATCAGTTTGCTGTATTATATGAAAAACATTTAACTAATGTTGGCCATATGTGTGATAAGCTGTTGCATGTCATTTAAAATTGTATCATAACATAGAAACTATGTTTTTGCCGCGGATGAACATTGTTATGGTCATTCAGTTGTAAGGTCACGATACGGAAACCAATTTCCAAACTTATGAGAGGAATTTCGTGAAATTTTGAGGAAACTTCTTTCTTAAGTATGTTTTTTATGTTGCATTCACATTTCATAATATTTTTTCTTAACGAAAAAATAAGAATTCGAGTTTGTTAAATGATTTCGCATACGCCAAAGCCGTCGAATCAATTTGGTATCGTTAACAACATCTCGCACTAGTCGATTTCTGACATGTCTGATGTTGATAACGAACATTGTTTTGTTGTGCACAGTAACCGTGTGCTATAGTACTGATTGATAAAATTCGTCGTATTTAAACAATTTCGACAAACTTACATTATTTTTTAATGCACATGGATGATCTCATTTTATAATACTGTCATCCCTTTTTAACACCGTACAATTGTACATCATACTACAGTAAATGACATGTCATGATGTATCGGTACAATACAGTATACATTAATCGCAAGTTGATGGCTTAACCCACCAACATTTGTCACCAGACGTTTGGAACCAAATGCCTGAACCAAAATAGAAAATGTTGGTGTTTATTTTATAGTTTTTTAGAAGAAAACAATTTAAAGATTCAACTTCATCATGGAGAATAGCTGCTATTTTGATGTTTGTACATGTACATCATTAACGTCACGCTACCACAATTGGTACAATTTTGACAGTTTTTTAGTGCTCTTTAAAAATTCAGATCTTGTATCTGGAATGTTTCTTGATTCTTGACAAAGACTACCTATGGTGGTTCATTTTCAGGAAAAGATTTATATCTAAGTAATTTATTTTTGAAAATAGAACGCTAAACTCGGAGGGAGATTTCGTCCGTTTTTCGGCCGTAAATAGTACCCAAATTGGTACACCATATCACAGGCTATGGAAATTGTTTTTATTTCTACAAGTTGATGTGCCGATTACAACAAAATATATTGCTGTTATAGATACCATACTGCACTATAATTGTATATATTTACTTTTATATTATCCGAATATAAGGACCAGAAATCAACATTTAAACATGCTTATATTTAACCCCTTGAAAATCCTCCAAAGTTTCGTCGACGTACGTCGTTTTTACTGGTTTTCTGATATGTTTACTTTGAAGTCATCGTGTACTCTTAAAATTTTCCTGAAAACAAAACTATTTGGCAGAAATGCTGTTAAATATATATTTTGTTATACTGTCAAAGGAAAATGCTCAAATTTAATTTTAAAGTACTATTCAAACAATTTTCTGACCGTGTACCAATTTGGGTAGCGTGACGTTAGTACTAATATTAATACCCGGCCTCTGGCGACGCAATATATAAAACACATCTCTCATCGTCAGAAAGCTACGTTATCGCAGCTAGTACATAAGTAATAATAATAATTTGAGGTTCTTATATACCGCTTTATCACAACCTAGTTTGTAGGTCGTCTCAAAGTGGTTCACAAATTATTATCCGTGGTTATAGGGCCTTTGCAACCAGCCAATATCTTTCTCAACTCCCTGGGGTGCATACAGCCGGAGCTGCCATTTATATAGGTCAAGTATGATATAGAGACAAATAAACCCATCCATAAATTTGTAGCGGAACTGGACTGGGTCGATCGTCGGTGACCAGGAAGCTCAATTGGTAGAGCCTCTGTCTAGAGTTCGGAAGGTCCCGGATTCCATACATGCCATATCCACAGGAACCAGCCTCGTCTGTCAATACACCCATGATTATATTATAGGTGTATTGACAGACGAGGCTGGTACCTGTGCAATATCTTAACGATTTGAGTGTTTCAAATTTCATTCAGTCTCAAAAAAAAACTTAGTGAATAAACAATAGACTGACATTGGCCGTTGAGAGGTCTAAAGTCACAGACCAGCAACTTAAATTACAAGCCAGGCCAATTAGCAGCATAGGTGGGAAAGTTGTGAATGGCCAGCCAATTCACGGCACATGGCATGGTGTCATGCTCACTCATATGTGAACTGTTAAGCAATTAAATCGGGGATCCCCCTTCCAGCGGGCCTAGTTGCTAATTAAAATGTGATGACAATGGGTATAAACATTAAACAGCGATATAAGAGCTGTTAGTTCATTACAATTGATACATGGTTTACAGAAATGGAAATGTAAGTCGTGACATATATCAAAACCAGACCCTGACATTGAATCCTGGATTTATCCTCTTGTTGTCGGGATGAAATTGAATGTGAAAAGAATAACATTAACGCAAGAATGCAAATTCCTTCTTAATTGGATACATAAAAAATAAAACAAATGGAAGTTTAATCATTTTTTTCACCAAATGAAGATTAAATGTTCCTATTGTTTTGAGATATATATTTTTTTCTCTTAGCTGGGTCAACGAGGACAAACCTCTTGAAATTTTACTTTTTTTTACTTTTTTTTTTTTATTTGAATGTTATACATAATTCAAATGCTGATAGCTTTATCCGGACCGTATGTCACATGCAAACCTCCCTAAAATTCTTTAAAATATCAATAAAACTCCAATTTTGGCTCAAACAAAGTAATAAGAGGCTTCAGAATAACACAAATGATATAATGCTTTGTTATATGCAGTATTTTTTCTATTTAAAATATCTCACAAATTTCTCACTAATTCAAAGAAAAAAATCACACTAGTTTTGACCAAATCTCTCTCAAAGAAATTCACTGATCTCTGTATTGTGTGCCGTAAAGTTGTTGAATATGTGAGGTTCGAACCCTGGTCTGGCCATGCATTTTCCGTTATTATTACATATTCAAGAACAAATTATAGTTTGGTTATGGTGTATAATTTGAGAAATAGATTATTTGTATGCGCTTGCTTTCTTATTGAAGGATATAGGCCTAGATATATTTGGCACATATGTTAATATGCTTCACCTATGATGCATATGTCCATCCTTGCTCGGTGTTATTTTTTGCAGCTTAACAACTTTTTAACCTATATTGAACAAGGGCAGTTATGTAAATGCCTGGAATGCCTTTGTATTTCAAAGCTCCATTGTCAGAGCCAAGATTACCATAACATGTACATGCACTATGTGCCTTGATGAAACTTTATATTAAAGCTTGAATGAGTCGGTTTTAGAAGTTAACAATGCAAGTTGGTATATTTTAGCAGAGTTAATACTCTTAGTTCCTTTTATGCGGGTGGGCTTAGTACCAGACATAGGCTTATCATGTCTTGTTCTTGCAAAAGCAGAGTACTTCATACTGTATTGAAGATTCCTTTACACTGCATGCTAATAAACTTGATAATTCCGCAGTAGTTTGTACATGCAGTAACTGCCCCTTATTTTTTTTTCATACCAAAAATATAACTGTAGTATGAATGAATGCTACCATTGACTAGGTACAGTAGTCCAGTTAGAGTGACAGTGTATGGATCAGAATTTAAGTCCAGGTTTCAAATCATGATCAGGCCCTTTCATTTTTACACTTGAAACACTGTTTTGATTAAGTTTATATAAGTATTATTTTTTTTATTTATCTACTGTTTTTCTTTTAAACCTTTTTTCCGAAATGATTTCTCAAAGTTATAGCATACTGGAAAAAAATAAGATGTATAAGAACAGTCTTTTGCTGTAGTATGGGGATACCGATCATAAATAGATCTGGTGTCCGAGTGATGGCCCTTTGGTAATTTTTGATGAGAATTTGGTCTTGAGGCATAATTAATGTCTTCATAATTTGATGATGACTTATGTTTGCCAAACTTGCTATATACTTATAAATTATAAATAAATGCATCTTCAAGATAAAGCTCATTCCTTTTTTAAGATGACTATGATATTAAACGATGGTCATTCATTATGGGAACTCTATTTGTGTCTTTAATGTTCGGCTTACACATGCATTCCATTTTTTAAATGGTATAATTGTCTTTCTTTTTCTTGTTGAATTGATCTTTTTCACATTTCTGTTGTTTTGGCAGATGAAGTATGGGTCAGACTCTGTCTGAACCTGTTACTACCAAGGAAACTTCCAGCTGTCAGAACCAGTTCTTAAAGGTTGGCTCATCATGTATGCAGGGATGGAGAATAAGTATCCTTTATAATCAGCGGAGGGCCCAAGGAAGTTCATGGGCAGTATATTATAAGTTTTGAAGTGAAGGACAGAATTTTGACAGACCAAAAAGGCCTATGTTCACCAAAAGAGATTTAATTGTTTTTTTCCCTTTCAAGTCAATGTTACTTGCTGTGGTGATTTAAGATTACAATGTACAGTTTTTGGTTAAATGTCGATCTGTCAGATTTTTGGACCAATACTGACCTGTGCCTCAAGCTAATGTATGTTAATTGAAATTTATGATTCATTGACTTTACTAATCAACATTAAAGACAGTTTGTTAAGCTGGATATTAACTTGGTATAACAATAACCAGCTAGGTTTATTTGTATATATGTGGTAGATATACCTTGTAGTCCATATAATATTATTATATAGAAAACCCACCATGTCATTATTGCTGCTTAAATTATTCAAATGTATTCCAATTTGACACTGATAGAAGTAATAAAGTTCATGCAGCTACAAACATTACGTCCATCCTGTATACAAGCTATGTTAGCTGTACTGTACATACATACATACATGATTAGATGAACAACTCAGATAATGAATACAAAGTAGGCTATAGGTAAAAGAACAAAATGGAAAGAAGTAATATGTATTTTTGTATACATGGTTTAGACTTCTGAACAACTGTACAAAATACTGGTGAAGTGGTCAGGTTATTTTGTATCCGAAATTCGTTGGATTAAAATTAATTATCAACTATATATTTTGTCATCACAGGAACCCTCTACTTTAATATGGCATTTACAAGTAAATGATATATATAACAAAACCGGTCATATTCTTTCATATGTTTTCTGTTGAATACTATATGATTTATACATTTCATGAGTAGGGCCGAATATTAGTGTTTCTCTCTATTACATACATACAATTACAATGAGCCAAAGAAATGTCCTTGACTCTGTGTAGACATGGAGGATGCCCACACACACCTTCTGTCACTACCAGGTGACAAGGACGCACAGTTCTTTGGAGTGTTCGACGGTCACGGAGGTAAGCTCTCGCCTACACAGATTGAAATAGCATATTACTGGGTAGTTTGAAATGTGATATATAAATAATTATTTATAATCGCAGAGGTGTAAAATATTCAAAAATACTTTCCCTGCACTGAAATTCTACTTCATGACTTTTCCTGATTTAATTAATTGAAACAAATATTCAAATATTTCTGTAATAGATATATCAACAGAAGCAGTCTCAGGAATTAACGATGATTAGAAAAATGTATGGATGTAGTTGAGGGGCAGGGCCAAAAAATCGCTGGACATGAAAAACCAAACACAATCATGCTAAATGTGTCGAGACTAAATTAGTCACATTGTATGGCCCCACCCCTCGAGACCTATTTACAATGAGATAATAGTGATTATAGCATTTGCAATGTTCTCTTAATGTTCGGGTGAGAATTAATACATGCCCTCTTGGACTTTTGTTTAATGTGTATAATATACCTGTGTTATAGCTATAGATTATATTGTACTATACTTGTTACACTGCCTTTACGACAATTTATATTCTGTAGGTGCCAAAATAGCTCAATATGCAGGGATCAATCTTCATAAGAAAATTGTGTCACATCCGGCATACTGTAAGTATCTATCATCATTACAATACATATCTATACATGTTCTTCACTGATTAATAATGTTTTAGTGGAATAGTGATTAATTTTACGTGTAATTCAATTTTGAAAATAGGAAATATGCTGAATATCTTAAAAATGCATTGTACATTACCTATCATTTTATTATCCACACTGAAGCCCCTAAATGTTTTCGTCATTATTTATGAATTGATTTCTGTGCACCAACTTTTGGTACTTGTGCACAGCAAAACTTAAATTTAAAAAAGTATCAAAAACATGCCTGATCTTCCCCATCCCAATTTTCCTATAGGATGATCAGATGTCATGATAGGGAAGACATGTACTCTTGTCATTATTTTGATAATAATTACCAAGGTAATCTTATGAGAAAAAAGGGTGTTTACTGCTAATGTATCAATTGGCCTTTTTCTAAGTGTGCTTCTAAGGTATATATCAGAATTTTGTGTAATATTTTTTTTTGACAAATTAATGTTGATGAATTGATTGACTTAGGTTTTTCTATTATAATTACTTTTAATTTAGCTCAGGGAAATGTGCCTGAAGCGATTCGACAGGGCTTCCTAGGATTGGACGAGGAAATGATCAAAGGTTGGTTTCACTGTTTACGTACACCAAAGCTTTAAAGGGGTCTAAAACACCAAACTTTGGTATATATACTCTAGGCTCAAAGTAAAATTGGAATTTTGAGCACTATTTATGGCACTATTTATGGCCCCATGTAATTTAACAGATAATTTACTTTATGTGTTTGTTAAGGCTGTTCTGTAGCATTTTAAAATATTTATGATATGCATGAAAAGCAGAAGATTTTTGTTTTTTATTCAAACTGGAACCAGGATTTTCGAGGTCCAGAGAGGGGTTGTCATGTTTGAATGTACATAATGTATTTCTTTTTTCTGGGAAAGCTACCTTTTAATAATCTATATCTAAATACAGTGTGTTTGATTTTTCAGTGCTATTTCATGATTTTAAATGATACGTTCTTGTTTGCATAATCTTCTGAAAAAAGGAGGAAGTTGAGTTTTATGTACATTTTTGCTATTTTCAAGTTAATGTCATGCAAAAAAAAGCAGGAAGTTGTAGGAATTTCATATTTATATGAAATGTGGTTTAGAATCAGTGATTTTGTACCTCTTTTTGACTGGGGCCTGTGCCTTGGCCACACAAAAAAGCACGATTTAGAGGGAAATAAAGTGTATTTTGCAGTGTTTTTGTGAAAATGCAGCAAAAATGTTTAGGAGAAATTCAAATGGGCCTTTTAAAATTCACCTTAAAAAAACACTGAAAATTATAATGTCAGTTCCACTGATTATCAGAATTTCGAAAACATACAACGGGTAAAACAATCGGTAAAGATGTAGGTAGCTAAGATGTAAGGTTAGTATATGGTTATATATTGGCTTATAGGTAACTTTAAAAAGTCATACGGTATATATACCGGTATCCAGATTTTAAATCCTCTCTGCTGTGTAGTGTTACCTGGCCATCCCCCAAAAAGTTCCTCTTTGCTCTTGGCCCATAGCTTTTATCAGAATATGTATCATAAAAGTGCTTGTGGCTTTTGTTCAGTTACAACAAATATTTAACAGTTATTTTTATGCCCTGCCATTTTAGTGGGGAGAAGGGGCATGCATACACCAGTATAAGGTGAAACTTCGATATTACATTTCCAAGCTGATGAATTCTTAATGCAGGCATGTACATATAGTGCTTTTAATGTTTGTTCTGTCTCATTGTTTCCCCTCTCAACCCATGCCACTGTCATCACTATCCACTTCATTTCCTAACAGATGATAATCAGACTTTAAAATTAGTCAGGAAAAGGTAGTCACCGTTACTGTTCATAGAAATTGTGTTCATAATATTTGTTGTTACAGATGAAGCCATGAAAGAGGAGCTAGCAGGAACAACAGCTGTGATAACGATATTCAAAGGCAATACCATCTACTGTGTAAGTAACTCGTTAACATGTTTTGGTATGGCTAAGTCTGGAATATTTCTTATTTAAATGGCAGCAGTATTAAGAACGATTTCAGTTGACATCTCTCTAAAATATGTAGGGTTTGTAGGTAAGTTTGTAATTTCATTTAATTAGATTCTTTCATGAGTTGACTTGAACATTCCAATTTTTAGCTGTGGATCAACAAGAATTAAAGACATCACAAGTTTTCTTATTATGACTTAGTGAAAATATTGTTCGTATGAGTGAGATTACATTTTTGACACATGTGTTTTTAACGCAAGTTTCTAGTTTATACTTTATGTCAGTCAGTGTTTCTCAGTAAATTATTTAATGCTTTGAGTAGCCCCAAGCATTTTTGGATATTTTCTGGTAGTTCATTCAGAGTTGCTGGTTGATGAGAGAATGACCAGCATCTTTTGGATTGTTGAATGATGTACAAGTTTGATGTGTTCCCATTACTAGCCTCTGAAATGATATCAATATCTATATAAAGAAGGTGTGTCATTCTTTCAGGGTAATGTTGGAGACTCTCGAGCTGTGGTGAGCATAAAGGGAACAGTGGAACAGTTGTCTCACGATCACAAACCTGGCAATGAATCGGAAACCAAAAGGATCATTTCAGCCGGAGGATGGGTAGAGTTTAATAGAGTAAATGGTATGTTCTTCTGATCATTTAATAATGATTAAAACACTATTTGTGCATTATCTAGGTTTAGATTTTATCAAGCTGCATTTTGTCAACTGAATGGCATGTCTGTGGCAGCTGTTCAAGAATTTGTGGATTCATTAGAGATGTATAGTATAAATGAGATTAAATGTAAATTTTCACCATGTTGTAATATAAGTTTCTGATTATACTGTTGTCTGTTAACTACTGTTAAAACTGGCCTGGGGCTAGAAGATACTTAATCAGGGCTAGTAAAATTATACCAACAAGCCATTATGCCTGCTAAAACAACTGCAGAATTGCTACCATAGAAAACCAACATGGTTAATTCTGACTTTGGCCTATATTGTTCCTTCTATTACAACTGATACTGTTTCTTGTTTTGCTCACATTCGATTTCATTTATGTGCTGCTTCAACCAGTTAATTCATGTTAATTAGTAAAATAATGACAGACCTAGATCTTTAACCCTAGAATAGGTCTAGGTGTTAAAATATTCATGAGATATTTGAATTTGTTATGAAATCAATGGGAAAAAAATCAAATTGACGTTACTATAGTATCAGAATACTTTATATTGACCAATTAGAAAAAAACATGATAATAAATAAACAAGTGATATATGTTCTTACCTGAATTGATTTTTACAGGTAATTTAGCACTTTCTAGAGCACTAGGAGACTTTGTGTTTAAGAAAAACGAGAAGAAGGGTCCAGAAGAACAGATTGTTACAGGTGAGAATTGAATCATCATCGTGAGGACTGATACAATAGAACTACAAGTGCTTATCTTGGTTACAACTGCCATAAAGCCTTGATGATGCCAACAGTGAATAAAACCCACATTACTAGCCATTTCTCCATATACGCTGAAACCTTACACTTAGTATAAACCCTGTCTGGTTTTAACATTCACCCCTCTAACAACTCTGCTTGTTTGGTTACATATATATGGCACATGATTAAAAACTATTCCTATGGTATAGTACAGAGATACTACACAGCTAAAACAGCTTATTACTAGATGTATGTTATGGGTACAGCATGATCCCTGGGAAACAGATTCCATCTCGTTCTTCTCTCTTACTGGGGCTATATACTTCATTTATCATTAATGCCAATTGTCTGAAATTGTTCACAAAATGAACATTGATATCCTCTTGAACAGCCTTTTTCGGACAGAACAAATATTTATCTCTATGGTTACTTTTTTCCCACAAGGCAATAACTACATGTATCAATCAGAATCCATTCAAGACTTTTTTTTTTCAATGTTTAGATTTATATTTCACAATCTGATTGATTCTCTCACTCTTGACAGTATGATAATAAGACCTGATCAGTTGATCAGAAAACAATCATTTGGAGTAGGTACTTTTTTGTGGTATGCTTTCTAAACAACAAGGTCTAGAATTGGTAGGTTCATTTAGAGGCTGTACATGTACAGAGGAAATGTAAATTAATTGTTTGTAGAGTTGATAAAACACAAGCAGTGGGATTACGTTTTAAAAAGTGCTATTTCACTAGTGGAATAAGAAAGCTTTTTTTCCTATCCATATTAAGGAATAAGCATGAACCAGTATACAGAATCAAATGACACAAGTACATCAAAGGAATGTTAAATTGAATGATACCTTATAGGAATGATACACTTTTTACCATAACAAACACTTAAAGATCAATTTACATAAGTAAATAAACGAGAATAGAAAATTTGATCACGTAAAAAGGTCTGATTTTGTGTTAATCTAGCGTATCCGGATGTGATTGAGAACCGTATCACACCAGACCATGAGTTCCTAGTCATAGCCTGTGATGGTATCTGGGACGTCCTCACTAGCCAGGAGGTTGTAGATTTCGTCAGAGCGCGAATAGCACAAGGCATGGAACCAGATATTGTAAGTAAAATAATAAATTATGAAGATGGAATGTAGAGGACAATCCTTCAGTGGTGTAAAAATCCACTAGCCGAGTCATACTAACTCAGGCAACACCCTGGCTACCAGATCAGCTGGGGCTAGTAAAATGTAGAGTCATACTAACTCGGGCAACACCCTGGCTACCAGATCAGCTGGGGCTAGTGAAATGTAGGGTCATACTAACTCAGGGTTAGTGACTTTTTTATGATGGTATAACTGACAAAGATGTCTCTGTTTAATTCTATCATCATTAGTGTAACCAATTAACATACTAAACCAGTGAAATCCTGGTAAATTTCCCTACTGTATCAATGGGAACACCTGGAGTCATTCGTGCTGCATTGATGATGCAAGATGCTCTGTTGCTTTTCATGTGTTTGTTTAATGTGCTATTAGGCACTATTCACCACATAAATAACTTAAAAAGTCAATACTAACCACCAAAATGGCCTCCTTTTGTTGCAAATTATTCTCATTAGAGTTTATCTCCAAAAGTCGGCGGTCAGCCATGTTTGATTTTGATGCTTTCTAAAACTAGAACTGGTATCTGGTCTGATTTTCAGTAGCTGTCAAAAAAAGAAACCTTCTTTCCAGCTTCAATAATTTGAAAAGCATTCAGTTTTGCTCTTAAATTAGTATAAAATCAAGTTCTAAACATATCCATTTGTATGTGTGAATGTAATACATGTATGCCATAGTTGATGTGATCATTTCAGCTTGATCCATTTTAAAGTTCGTCTGGCTAGCAGTATGTATTTTCAGGCCACAATATTGTTTGTAAATTTACATGAACCAAATCTGTATTCCTGAGTTTGAGCTCTTTATCTTACCAAAATGCAAGTTTTTGTTGAATTAAGCATCATTATAGTTAAATTTTTCAGAAGAATAAACAAATTCAATACACTTTCATGAGGTCTATCAATCCTACACTTTGCAGATTATATCTGTTGTTTTTTCCAGATTTGTGAAGAGTTGATGACAAGATGTTTAGCACCTGACTGTCAAATGGGTGGACTTGGGTGTGATAATATGACTGTGGTGTTGGTTTGTTTTTTATTTGGTCAAAGTTATGATGACTTGATTAAAAAATGTGCCAAGCCTGGTGCACGAGGGGCTTCCACGGCACATCTCACAAGCTACCAGGCCAGCTACAACCGCGTTGATCTCAAGTGACATAACCAATCATCCTGTATATGGAACTCGAGCAATAACGTGTCCCTTCACCGTACAAAATGGTTTTAGTTTAATCAAACATGGATCTTTTTTCAGTACACCACATTTCTGGATCTAAATCAAAGGAATCTTATTATAATTTTCAGTGCAAGTTTGGTAAAAAGTTAGGAATCAAAAATTAGTTATGTTTTAAATTTACCAATTTGAAAGTCTCTGGCTATGTAGCTATTTAAGATGTCATAATTTTTGTCCTTACATTATCAGGTATTCAGTAAAACTGAACTTGTATTTTTATGAAATTGTGTTTTTTTCCTTTCATTCTTTATGAATATTGCAAATAAAAAATCAGTCATTGCAGTTGATTGTTAGAGAATTTTATGACTTAATAATTTTCTTGATGTAAATTAAACCTTGTCAGTTGATATTAATTAAAATTATTAAAATTGAAAAAAAAAAGTTCACTTGTTGGAAAACTGTCCACGTCCTTGAAAGTTTTATAGAAATTTTCCAATTGAATCAAAAAGGTATTTTTTTTATTTTGTATTTAATTTCATCACATTTTCTATAATGCAATTTTTACTATTTTGTTCGGTTTAACAGTATGAAATTTGGTAGTTACTTCGAAACCATATCCTTTCAATAGCCATAGTGTTTTTATGCAGTGCAAACATGTAACAGGGTCCTATAAGAGCTGCCATCGTACACTGGCCTAGGATTGTAATGTTAGGCAGTGTAAGAAAAGGAGGTTCTTCTGTGTTATTTCACTGAGTTTGGATATTTGGTAAACTTCAAAGTAATTTTGATTTTCTCAAAATAGAGATAAGGGATTTCCAATCCAGGAATTGATGAACTTCCATCTTATCTTTTTACATAAAGAAAGCTAAAACAAAGTGTTTTGTCCACTTGTCTGTAACTTAAGTAAAATGGCTTACAAAATTTGCTTAAAAACGAAAAACTTAACATTATTGCCCAAGCTACATCATACATTTGAAACCACATTTCTGGTGTACAATATTGGCTCTCGGAATCCTGGTTTTTCGCACTTTGTAAATATGTTATGGCCATCGCCACAATATGATGGTGGCTGTCCTAGTGATACTAAATTTCTGTTAACTATGTACATCCTTATTTTTCCCTTTTAAACAACTGCAACATAAAACAAAGTTTTCTTTTTCTTTTTCTTGAATTTTTGGTATACATTTGTAGATTTTGGCAGTGAGTGTTGATGTATACATTGTAGTAGTAGGTTACTGATTGTGATAGATTGATGGTAGCAGTAGTGTATGCCTCTGTGATATTAATGTGAGTGGATCTTATGTAATCCTTTATAGGACCAATTTCTGTCCAGTTCACTCCAGGTCTCTTAAGTTCATGATTTACTAATATATCAGCAAGTTGTTTGTTAAATACTGAATTGAGATAAATGCTGTTAAATTAGGTCTGAGCAGCATCGATATGTCTAGGAGACGAGCTGTTCTTTACAGCTCCTCTTAAGCTGTTATTTCAAAATATTTACCGGTTAATGTACATGAAAATAGATAAACCTGTTTGGAAAGTTTGGTACAACATTTACAAAGGATCAGTATCTTACTATAAGTCTTAATGAACCAAGGCGGTTTGTAAGCTTGACAGGGTAAAATATTATCCATCCGTAAAAATTAAAAATATTTTGTGCATCTATTCTTTAATAATGGTATTTATCCCAGTAAACTTGTACCAGTTTTACTTGTATAACCCTTTAACGTTGTTCACTAGTCACACTTGTAACTTATCGTAGATAATGACGATCAGAGCTCTAGTCTGTCACATTGTGATATCATGTAACGTTTAGCACTGTATACAACTACCTATTTATCCTTCTTTAACAGTATGAAATACATAATGTTTTATTGAAAAAAAATTCTAGGTAAATTCACATAAATAATTTTTAATCTATATTTCATTAGGGTAAAACAGTATAAAAGAACTAATAGAGATAGAACAGGAACTGTTGATAGCCATCAGCAATTAAACGCTGTTCAATCAGCTTTTTCTGTGGCTATTTTTTATAACTATCTTTCTACGTAATTACGGACAGAACATTTAGTGAAATCGAAAAATGTCTTATGTCAATGAACTTGTTATCTAGTCCTGTAGTACAATTGTACATCAACACACGATTTAATTGACAGTAAACCCTGAAGTTTGACAGGTTTAGATATATTAAAGTAGATAAAAGCACTCCAACTACCCCATAACAATGGGTTATTGTTTTTTCAATTTAAAAAAAAAAATGAAATGTTTGATACAACAGATATTGGCTCAAAATTTAAAGATCAGACACGTGTGTTTTAAATTATATGGTTACTGATCTAACTTTTCAGTAAGCTTTTTTTTTCTGCAGTGATATTAACCTATCTATATCAAGCAATACATTTTTCTGCAATAGTATATTCTAATTGAATATATATTAAACAATAAATTTTCCTGAGTTTATATATACATGGTATATTAAGTTATATTACAACATACTGGATTTTGTTTGCACTTCCGATATAGCAGGTGTGCATCATTAGCTTAATGACTAATAAAGGTTAACTTTGAATCGCTGATAATTTCAACGATAAAAAAAATCGAAAAAATATTAAGTATGTCCTGAGATTTATTAAAACAAAATGACTCTCTGGAATCATACATGTCATTTTTGTTGTCATTTTTTTGTTCAACAAATCAATTTAATTTGAAAATTTGACTTGTTGTAGGGAGAAGCTAAATAAGCTGACTGAGTCCAGATCTTATTGTTGCATGTTACTGTGAAGATTTATCAAAACTTTTTATTTCTTGTTTGAAGCTTTTGACAATGGCTTTGCATGACAAATTCTGTTATGATGAGTAAAGGAAAACTACTGGAATGCCATTGCGCTTACTTGTAGCTACTAATGCTGTAGTGTGTAATGGTATATCAGTGACTTGGGAACCTATGTCTGATAAATTATTGTACACAGGCATTGAGGCAGTATAGCCTGAGGAAATGTACACAGAAATACCCAAGGCTTGACAAAAACTCTAACTTTATTCCGTTGTTTTATGTGTATTTGTAATCAGAATAGATTATAATCTATAGTGTGTAATGTATCTGTAGCAGTTGATCAATACTTTGTATTGAAATAAGAAATGTTGATAGGTAAGTTATGTAGTTCTGAGTTTTAAACCAGTATAAGACTTGTGTGTAAAGTGTTGATGTGTATATCACTAATATGTGTATTATAGGCACTAGAAACACTTCCTGACGCAATCACCTAGCTCCAGGGTTGAAGAAACTTTGAGAATATCTTAATTCTCTAAAGAATAAATTTCCACCAAATGTCAAATGAAATTGTAAATTATTTATGTGAAGTATTTTAAGGACAATTTCTTTGCTTGAGACAGTGAATGAAACATAGAAAGACTAAATATAAAATGAGTTAGAGAAATGTTGAAATAGTATTAATAAAGTAAAAGGAACCTTTATGAAACTGGAACCAGTTATCAATGGTCCGGCAATTCATCTTGACCTCGATGATACATGTCGTCACTGTTAAATTATCTATCACAATGTTACTGGTATCAAGTCATCAGATGTTTAGTGAAACATTGATTTCCTTGATAGTGATCCTTCTGGCTATTGCATTTAAAATAAAAGTACAGGTACATTGTATAGGATTCCCTACATACCCTTCAATGGAGAAATATCAACTTTGATTCACTTGAAATATGACCTAATTTATGAAACTAGGACTATTATTTTCCTCAAGTACAGTACAAAACAAAGCATTTTCCTTTGTTAAAATTTCTGTCATGTGAACACTTAATTTAATACAGTTTAAGCATGCCATTTTGAGTAATGTAGTCTTCCACAGTGACGTTTAGATTACGTAAAATGTAGTGTTTTTTACCGGCAAGTATGTACATTGTTTTTACAGGTCCTCGGGCCTGACTCCATTCGCGATTCTGTTGAAATCCCTGCTTCGGTTAAGTTCTCCTTCACATGAAGGCGTATATAACATGTCCTTTTGCAATATGGACATGGTGATTCAGATCTTTTCCCTGTACCATGAACAACTTGAAGGTCATTGGTTGGCCTTGAATAGTCATTGGGTTGACCATCTTTAATGGCTAAAGGTTGTCGATTGTTCTCCTTCTGTAGTCAAGGGTATGGTCAGGTGACCTTCAAAGTTCAAGGGACATTTGGTGGTGTTAAGTTGATGGTACTGCCATTGAGTATCACTGTTTAATGGAGGGAATGATATTTTTTACTGTAAAGATAAGATTTTTAAAACTGTTTGAACCTTACTTATCAAATATAATAAAATAAATGAAAAATTCCATTTTGGGTAATTATATATCATAATTCGTATCGAAATTACTATAGTAAATGTATATGTATATATAAGTTCATGGCCAGAGCAAGAAAGTTGATAAAATAAACAGAAAATCAGTAAAGACATGTATACCTCTCTTGTCAAAGATATATACTTGGTCACAGGAGTTCAAAGTTACATCAATAAAGTTGGTATATAGCTCATATCTGTCGCTCAAGAATGAACAATCTGTATGAGCTATTTGCTGCTTGTAGGTGCGACATTCTGACCATAGTGATATAACTTTGAACCCCTCTGATATGTTAATGAGAAGGAGTTGATCTGTTATTAAATCTGTTAATTGACTTGTGTTGGTGTACATGCATGGTGTCTTTATTATATGATAGGAAATCTACTGACTAGTTTGTTGTTTTTGCAATAGTTGCATAGATGTGTTCAAAATCTTTAAAAATAATGATACTCTTCATACTTCGAAATCTCATCTCATTGTAATTTACATGGAGGCCATATACAGATACGAACAGAAAGTCCAAATACCAGGTGTACCAAAATAGATCTGGTCCAACTAAAGGACAACGTAAAGAATTATGAAAGTGCGTTCAATTACCGTGTTAAGTATATGATTTTTTTTAAAGTACATGCATGTAAAATACGAATAAGATTTTTAAAGTTAAATTGTGGTTTATATATTTAGTTATTTAACATAGTTTATTTTTTGTTCCTGTGGATGACAATAGTTCTAAAAACAAAGCATTTAGAATAATAATCATATACACAATGTGATCATTTCAAACATACCAGTGGTTAAACCATTTGTTTTCTAATTACAGTACATTCCAAACACAATACAAAATTTATTTAATTTTAATCATTTTTTTTTTAATATTTCTAATTCTGCAAAAATAACATTCAGATGCCTGATCATCTTCGATGCCTGATGGGAATATGGGTTGTTCCTAGCACCATATTTACCATAAATAGCACCCAGGGCAGTATCACATTGACATAAAGGGAAGGCTGCTTAAATAGATATGTCTGTAAAGGGATTGCAGTTGTAGTGTGTACTGTTAGGTGAATTTACTGTCATATCTGCCATCTGTACTGATTTTTAGAGTAGTCTACAACATTACTGATTGTACTACCGTCATCTATATATATGTGTAAATATTGAATTTTGTGTACCGGTGCAGGCCAGGATCAAGGTTTGGGAGGTGTTTACAGAATTTCGGTATGTTCCGAAAAGGGGACTAATAGTGGGATTATTGTTTCTGGGTGCAGACAGGAATACTTGTTTTGTAGTTTCAGAATATGACAATTATATGCACCAAAATCTATACAAGAAAATACTGGTTCAGAGGTAAAATTTGAGCTTTATTTGTTACTGGTACACTATTATTCTTCATGGTGAATGTACAACACATTAACAATTGGAAAGTCACAGCCATAATCATAAGCTATCACACATAGGACTAACTTAAATGCCAATCGATTTTAATTGCTTATAAGGACATGACAGTAGTGTTTTTAATGACTTGATTATTTAGTTGGAAATTTAATTTTGATTGTCGCATCAAGTGCATTTTTTAACAATTGATAGAATGAAACCTCAATCCATCCTTTCTATCCATCCATTAGCAACGGAATTACCATTTAACTGTAATATATGTTTTCAACAATTATACTTAAATAATGTATGCCTGAATCACAGTAGATTTTGTGTAAATATTACCTGGTAATACCCATATAACAATAATACATGTATAAGTTAATGTTGATTGAAAGGTAAGAAAGTGTTTATTGGTGTACTACAGTATAACTGCATGGAATTGACAAACTTAAGATATGATATACATTATCGACAATATTGTGTATTGTACCGTTAGGTAGAACATTGGTAATCCATCTGGATATAAAAAAAAATGGAGTCTTAATATTTATTTCATATGTATATTGATAAAAAAAAATCCAAAATCAGTAGTATCCATGGTCACTTTTATCAAAGAAGAATTAAAAAAAAAAATGAAAAACAATGCTCTAAAATACTGCATGGTTTTAAAATTACAATTACATGTAAAAGGTAAAGTATTAAAATGTTAGATTGACAAGAATTGTGAAGAATCTATACTGTAAATTTATAATCTAACTTTTGAAGTGATTTAGAAAGTACTGCCCTAATTAGTATATAGTTAGAAATCAGCTCACAGACTAATGTTATGGTAGTTAAAAAGCCAGACGATGTCAGAAATCTTCTTCCTTGTGAGAATGAGTTTTGTACAGTAGATATCACTGCATGTTATAGGGTGTACATTTTAAGAGAATTTGAATACAAACAGATTTTATGTAGACAATAAGTGCCAATATTGTGCTATGTGGTGAAAATGACTTTCCTGACATTTTTTGTCAAGATGTTGTTTTATAACCTGTATGAAACTGTACAGTTGGTCATTATTTGTGACGAGAATCAGTCATGTACTGGCATATATGTCATGTCTATGTACCTATATCAAGTCTCATTAATATATATTTTCCATGTTGTGTATATGTTTTTATCTTTGCTTCACTAATCATTTTACATGAGATATTTGATGGACTCCCTAAGACCAAGAGAAATTTGTGAAGATTGTAAAATATAAGGAATCTCCATTTTTTCCACCATAGAAAAAACAAACGGTCCAGATTTACTTATCATAAATATAACAGATTTTCATCCTGAACAAGACATTGAGTAATGTAAGTCAAGTATTATAGCATAATAAAGGTTTTGAAAATATACTTCCTTCAATCTGTGCAACTCCATCAAATATTTCATGCATATGATGTTCTTTTCAAAATTTTGTGTTCTTTGTTCTAGCTGGCCAAATATATGTACAAAAGTATGACAAATATCCTTCAAATTTGATGGTAGGTAATTGTTATTTCAATTAAATTTAATGTTTTAATATAATGAACATTTCTAGTTCAACTTCTGTTTCAATATATTTACATTTTTAGGTCACCTGAGACAAAGTCTCAAGTGACCTATTGCGATCGCCTTTTGTCCGTCGTCCGTCGTCCGTCGTCCGTCGTGCGTCCGTAAACAATTTACATTTTCGACTTCTTCTCCAAAACCCCTGAACCAATTTTAATGAAATTTTGCAGGGACCTTCCATGGACAAAGGTCAACAAAAATAGTTGCCGGTTTAGTCCTAAGCCCCCAGGGGCCTGAGGGGCGGGGCCAAAAAGGGTCAAATTGACTAAAATTTCAAAAATCTTCTTCTC